TACTGACTACCCATGTCTACAGTCATATACTGACTACCCATGTCTCCAGTCATATACTGACTACTCATGTCGACAGTCATATACTGACTACCCATGTTTACAGTTATATACTGACTACCCATGTCTACAGTCATATACTGGCTACCCATGTGTATAGTCACACACTGACTCCCCATATCTACAGTCATATACTGACTACCAATATCCCACAGTCAAATACTGACTACCCATGTCTACAGTCATATATATCTCACAGTCAAATACTGACTACCCATGTCTACAGTCAAATACTGACTACCCATGTCTACAGGCACACACTGACTTCCCATATATACAGTCATATACTGACTACCCATTTCTATAGTCATATACTGACTACCCATGCCTACAGTCACATACTGACTACCCATATCTACAGTCACACACTGACTACCCATGTCGACAGTCACACACTGACTACCCATGTCTACAGTAACATACTGATTTCCAATGTCTACAGTCATATCCTGACTACCCATGTCTACACTCACACACTGACTTCCCATATCTACAGTCATACACTGACTACACATGTCTACAGTCATATACTGGCTACCCATGTTTACAGTTATATACTGACTACCCATGCCTACAGTCACATACTGACTACCCATGTCTACAGTCATACACTGACTACCCATTATGTGACTGTAGACATGGGTAGGCAGTATATGACTGTAGACATGGATAGACAGTGTGTGACTGTAGACATGGGTAGTCATATACTGACTACCCATGACTACAGTCACATAATGGCTACCCATGTCTACAGTCACATACTGACTACCCATGTCTACAGTCACACACTGACTTCCCATATATACAGTCATACACTGACTACCCATGTCTACAGTCACATACTGGCTACCAATGTCTACAGTCATTTACTGAATACCCATGTCTACAGGCATATACTGACTACCCATGTCTACAGTCATATATTGACTACTCATGTCTACAGTCACACACTGACTACCCATGTTTACAGTCATACACTGACTACCCATATCTACAGTCATATACTGGCTACCCATGTATACAGTCACACACTCACTACCCATGTCTACAGTCACATACTGACTACCCATGTTTACAGTCATATACTGGCTACCCATGTCTACAGTCACACACTGACTACCCATGTCTACAGTCATATACTGACTACCCATGTCTACAATCATTCACTGACTACCCATGTCTACAGTCACATACTGACTACCCATGTCTACAGTCACATACTGTCTCCCCAAATGTATATATCATATGATAAATTATATAAATTCAATCCCAACAAAACCATAGGACTATAACAGTGTCTAGAAAGAATAGAAGGCACTCCCCTCTTTTCTTTAATAATAAATTTTAACCTGATGAAATAAGTCATAAACATTTAGGGTTACTTTTTGTTTCTAAAGGTACATGGGAGGGATCAAATTCATGATATTTTTAATAAAGCCTGTATTAGACTAAACATATTGAGAATGCTTAAATATAAAATCGATAAAAAAATCATTGGAAATGTTATTTTATTCTTATATAAGACCTGTGCTTGAGTATGGTGATATTATCTGGAATGACTGTACCATTGGAGAATCTAGTATGCTTGAATCTGTTCAAATTAAAGCTATGAAAATTGTTATCGGGGTTAAGAAGTGGTACATCTCATCGAAAACTATACCTTGAGGTAAATATGGAAACTTAAAATTTAAGACGTCATAAACATAAATTAATTCGAATGTACAAGATAATAAACCGTTTAACACCTGACTATCTTTATAATATTATTGTACCTTTTATTAATAATGCTAATGACCCTCATGGATTGAGGCATACTAGATTCTTTAATGTACCTCAAGCTAGAACTCATATCTACAACACTAGTTTCTTTCCCGATACAATGAGCTTATGGAACTTATTAGATTCTTCTATAACATCTGCTAATTCCCTTACTTCATTCAAATATACACTTAATAACTATTATGATAATCAAGTAGATAATATTTTCCTGATCTTTAAACAGTGCAATCCTAGGAATCTTAATATAATACTTTGTCAAATCAGGCACAAAACAAGTGACTTAAACTCCGATAAATTTACTGACCACCTTATTCAAGATGGTAATTGTTCTTGTGGAGCACCGCGTGAAGATGCTGATCATTTTTTCTTTTTCTGTCCAAATTATTCTGATTTCAGACGGGATTTTTATGAAATATACAATGTAGTAGGATTTATTAGTCTGAAATTACTTACATCAGGAGATAATGATCTATCACCAGAAACTAAAAATTATATATTATCTAAAGTTGAGGTTCATCTAACTCGAAGATGATTAGTATATTTTTATTAAATACTTACCGTTATATCAATCTGCTCCAAGAATATGTGTGTGTGTGTGTGTGTGTGTGTGTGTGTGTGTGTGTGTGTGTTTAGAAGTATGTATATCTTGTACTATAACATCGAAAGTACGCCACTGGTAGAGGAGTGAGCCTTGGTATTAGTGTGTGTAGTTTAAACATTCAGCCATATAATTAATTCAAATATATATACATATTTTCCATATAAATGTCCATCTATTTCGATAAGTAATTAATTATCGATAATTTTGTAAATATATCTTATTATTCTTTGTAATTGTATATATGTTGTACCGTTTCAGGAGAAGACTAATATAGGCACTGCCTGTTGTCTAATCCTTTTGTAAATACAATAAATATGTTTAGCTATAATACCATGTGTATAGCTATGTGCGACATGCTGTATGTGCAGACGCTGTTTGCAATAAAGTATTTGATAACTTTAACCACGGACTTTGAAAATTCCGTGCTTTAACTGAAGTAGTGAGGCTTTTGTTGATTACAGTTCGTAGCGCTACATTAGGATGAACATGTTTCATTTAATAGGATTTAATAGGAAAAAAGAAGGGCGCAAGCAAATATCTGTCTCTATATCCATATCAATGATAAAATACACATATATATAATTCATTAACATTCAATTTTAACACTGTGACACATGTAAAAACTTAAATTTTTGCCTATAACATACTTCATATCTATATTTTTCCCATGTTCATCTAAATTGACCTCGAATTCTTTAATTGTAGTTGAATCTATAGCTCTCTGTGGGAAACTGTTCCATATATTTATTGTTCTAAAGTTCAAACTGATTTTCTGAGACTGAGCTAATTTACAATGGGCCGCGAGTTCTTGATAAATTATCGTGTACAAAGAGTCCATTGCTGTCTCTCTCAGTCAAATATGTTTCGGTACAGAAAGAATATATTTACAATGAATTAATTTTGTGTACTAATATATTAACGAAATTTAAACACGTACACCTAGCTAAAGTCTAGGGCAGGTTGGTTTCAGACATTCTAGACATAGGGAAAAAAAGGAATAATCTTTATAACCAACCTAATTCATCAACGGATCTATATAGATTTCCTTGCTAAGATAGTTTTCAATCATTTTCAAATAACATCAAAATTTCAAGTCAGTGTGTTCTTCCACCATCTGTGTTTATTTTTATTTTTTTTTATTAAAAACACACACATATACACACAATAATAAAGGGGGAATGTTCAGTTTCACAGTTAACATGCCAGACACTGAATAAATACATGTGTAGCTAGTCCGTCACATGTTACCTCAGTAAACGGCAGATTTGCCGCCGAAATCGGGCCAACACGGGTGTTCTCCCTTACTGACAGTTTTCAGAATTTAGAGGCAAATTGTCGTGATATGACCAGGTCACATGAATAGTTATAAGACATTAAAATCATCTGACCAATCAGATGTCGTCTTTCTTTTTGTTCGCCCCGCCTGTTCTGTGTTTTCTGATCGCATATCACCGAAACCTTCAAATATTTTTATTTGGTAAAAATCCAATAAAATCGTTAAAAAGTATTTGTTGATGCCAATATTGTCATAGATATCCCCTTAATCTGTCTATGTAGCCATATCTATAATACATTTTGTTATTTCGTTGAAATCACGATTTGTTTTACCCCTACCACAAATCCATTTCGACTGCGTTTTGTCGTGTTTCACGCCAGCAATCCTTTGACCTCATTGTCAGGAAGGAGCGAAGCAGGCCTGGACAAACAGGAGTAAATTCATCAGAATCGACGAAGTTCCGTCGAAGTACTGGAGAAACTTGATCGATTATGTTATTTTGAACATTCTACTTTCATTTTAGCTTGGTTTTGGTCGTTTTGAGTGAATTTTGGCCACTCAAAACTTTCTTTGTTTTTCCCTCCAAAATTCAAGATGCCGCTATTGCGACGACAGCCATTTCACAGACAGAAACCCCCATCCGATTTAGATGGAGACGAAGAGGTTTTCCACTGCAAACTCACGAGCGAGATATTCAGAGACTACGAGTAAGTATAACTACGTACATGTTGACATGTCGATTTCATAGCCGCGGTCACCACGTGTTTGATTTTGACGACGATCATGTTCGCCAGACTTGTTTATGTAAAACCAAGCCAGCGCCATTTTATTGCTAATGCATGCATCTTTTGTCTATCATTATACAGGGAATTCTTTGAGCGTATTATCCTTTGCAATAGCCTGGTTTGGTCATGTTCCATTACCGGCCGTGCAGGTTTGACATATCAAGAGGCTGTAGAATGCGAAGAGAAGGCACTGAAAAATTTGGCTACCTTTCCTGGATATTTGCAGAAGCCGGTTTTATTTCTCGCTAACCTTACTCATCGAACTCGTTTGGCAGACATGAATGACGACATCTTCGTCTTTGCTAAAGACCGGTTCTTCATTGGCGAAGTTTGTGAAGTGATGCTTGGTGGAGAAAGGTATAACAGTGTTTTAATTATTGTGTTGTGGTGTGTAAACGTGTTGATTGTGATGGTTTGGGGTAAGAGGGTGGGTGTTATTTGATAAAAGGTCATACACGGAAATGTGAATAGCTTTATACTCTACCTGTCTGATCATTCGAATATTGAAAATAAAGTATTATTTAACTAGTACTTGAAGTTAAAGTTTAGGAAATCTTAGGTGCAGTTGCTGTAAACTGCAGTTACCACATATTTGTCATGTTCTCATTGTTTTTAATTTCAACACATGAAGATTGCACATAAGGGCTTGTTATGACCAAAATGATCTGTAGTTTTTAGGGAAACAAATATTTAAATCTTAAGGGAGTGGTCAGCCTTTCTATTTTCTGTTTCGTTTCTTAAATAAATGTTAATTTTGAAGAAAGCATATATATTTATGGACAATATTCAGGGTTCTCCCCAGATTTTTTAAGGTGATATGTTTCATTTGCAACGAACATTCAAGACGGACATGCTAATATAATAACTTTTAAGAGGGGGGGGGTGTAATATTATGTTTAAATAGTTACTTTTATTTACCAAACTTCTTTTGATGAACATTAAAACCAAATAAATAAATAAGTGTTCCTTATGTCTGAATTTTCAGCAATATTTTTAAATATTTTGATTTTTTTGATTTTTTTTAGAAAGGTGTATGAGTTTTGTACATTGAATAATAGATATAACATTTGTCTCTTATCTTTACATTTGTATCCCTTACTTTATCCCAATTCAAAATAATTTAAAGAAGAAATATTTAAAAGTTGTTAGTGCTTTAGGAGAAAACATGAAAAAGTTTATATCACAGTTCTTTTTTATAATGTAACGAGCGCGCGTCCGGTGCCCACGTCTCACCGGCCGCCGTCGAAGAAGTATGGGGTTCTTGTTTCACCAATATAGTGTGCTTCCTGGATCCTGGATTATCACGGTCGAATATGTTATATCTCCTCTATGTCAGGTCCAGGAACAATGGTCAGAAATAGTCTAGCAGTCTAATTTACTACGCGAAAACTCGGAATATCAACCAAGAGCCCAATTGACAGGTACAAATATAATTTATTAAAGGAACAAGGTATCTTTACGGAGTACAGATCAGTATAATATTACAATACAAACAAGGCATCAACACAGGTCCTTGCACCAGACAATAACAAAGGTAATTGACAAATTGTACACAACTATTCCCAAATTATACACTAATTGACTGTATTTCCTGTACCAATGTCCCACTAATCACCAGAGCCTAATATTCTAAGTCACCTAAATTATAATCTGATATGCAGACCAGCAAAAATACAAGATAGCTTCAACTATTAAGATAATTTGTAATAATATGACAATACAGCTATAAATAGCCAAATACCG